TCCATGTAAGAACGTGTGGTCTAAGTGAAGTCTAACCTTAAAGTGAATGAATTTCATCATCTGCAAAAGAGCAGAACTGATGTTTTGGATAACAAATGTTCAGAATCCATTTTGTGATGCTTTTACATGTAAATTCCTAGGCTAAGTGAATTTCACATAAATGAGCGCTGCAATGTTACGTTAAGTACTTGGCTTCAGAACCAAAGTGCCGTTGGTGAAGTGAGGTCTAGTGGTAATGTTTAGAAAAGAAGGATGTTGGTGAGTAGTTCTCATGTCTCTTGACTTATATTTTATTACTGATACACTGGAATCTACAATACTGTCTTTTTCCTGTATGTTGCTTAGTACTTACTCATTTTCACCTCTTTTTTTTTTTTTTTTTTTTTTTTTTTTTTTTTTAGGTTTATGTAGGCTCGTTACAGGAAAGAGCAGACATTGCTTAAGCAACTGCCTTGCATTCCGTTGGTAGAAAATTTGTTGAAAGACGGCTCCGATGGCTGTGCGTTAGCTGCCCTTATTCATTTTTACTGTCCTGGTGTCGTCAGATTAGAAGGTAAGTGTTCCACTGAAATGTCTCTAAACTGCGAATAGATGGTAAGAAATATTTAAGACAGTAAATTTAATAAGTAACGGCGGCTTCTTTTAAGAAGAACATTTATGTATCATTCTAGGAGGTAGCTGAGCAAAGGAGTGCTTGGTCTCTAAGCCTCTGTGTAGCAGATCACTGCCGTTACATGTGTGGGTCAGACAGACTCTATGTAGCTGCGTATCTGTATTAAGGTAATGATTACAAAATGAATATGAAATGTACGTTATCAGAATTAACCCTGTGGCTCTTTTCCTGTTTGAAGATATTTGCTTGAAAGAAACCATGTCTTTGGCTGATAGCCTCTATAATCTGCAGCTGATTCAAGAATTTTGCCAAGAATATTTGAACCAGTGTTGCCATTTCGCCCTGGAAGACATGCTGTATGCCGCTTCCTCCATAAAGGTATTTCAACCACCCTCTTCCCCTTTGTTTGTTCAAGTTTGCTGAAAAAACATATAGCCAGGTACATAAACAGGATAGCTGCTTTAAGCTTACAAAATTAACTGTAATTTCAGGCAAAAGAACTCTTGAAAAAGTCGTTTTTGTTTGATTTTTCTGCTGATTTTATTTCATTTCTTATTTTTTAAAAACGTACACTGTTAGCTACAGGTTTCTTTTGTAGTACAAAGCTAAACTTAATGTCACAGTACAGAATTAAACCGTTGTTCTGATGTTGTTAGCAAAATAGAGGATAAGCCAGTAAGCGTTTCTGGGTCCTGGAGGGCTGCTGCCGCTTGTGGGGAGCATGCAGGAGGTGTGGCTGCTCGGGACACTCAGCAGGACAGTGGACTCTGTCTGGGAAGAAGGGGCCCTCAGGTCCCAGAACTCGAGGCAAAGCCTTGGGAAAGGAAGGAGGAAGGAAATAGTACAGTCATCTGGAAATGAACCTTTTAGGAGGTCATCGCATTTGTTAGCCATACACTTGTCCCTTGCTCCAGGACGTCACACAACCTCTTAGCTTCGGGGCCGTTGCTTAGTGCCTTTCTTTCAAGAAATGTTTACTGAGCGCCTCATAGTGTTCTAGGTGGTTGGGATAAATCAGCAGACAACACAAAGACCCCGCCCCGTCCTTTTAGGGCGTTCTTTCTAGTGGTGAAGACAGACGCGTGTCTCAGGCGGGATGGCTTCTGAGCTGCAGGTTCCAGAACTTCATGGTGGGAACACGCTGCCCTTGTTGTTACCGGCAGCTGCAGCTGCAGAAATCCTTCACGGCTCTCGTACACCTGCCTGGAGTTAACACTTCTGTTTCAAGGCTTTAGGAATAAGTGATCTTACAGTCGATTTGTTTGAAGTCTGAGAGGAACACCTCTATGTCAGTCCTAATTGTACTTGCGATGCCCGCCTTCATAGAAGCTGCTAAAGGACCCCTCCCAGCGCAATGCTAGTGCCTTGTGATGCTTTGAATTCTTGTTCTCTGGTCTCTCTCTCTTTTTCCTGTACCCGTTTCTCCTTTACCGCAAGGCAGATTGACGGAGCCAGGGGTAATGGTGTTTCCAGAATAAGCCACTGCCCCTGTTGACCAGAATAGCGCTCACCCCGCACTGTCCAGCACATCACAAGAAAAACCTTGACTGATTTTGAATGTTTAATTACACTTTGCCGTTTTTACCAAAATGGAAGTTAGGAGATATTTTCATATTTATCTCAGTAACTTTTTCTGGCGCTTCCTATTAAAAAATTTAAATACTTTTACTGAGATCTCAAAGAAAAAAAATGACCTCATTAAATACATTGAGTTGTAAGGTTACATTTGCTTAAGTTGTATACCTTGGACTTCCAATAAATAACGTATATCCCTGATGTTTAGATCAACTTAGTCTGGGCATGATCCAGATACAAAGACATTTTCTGCAATCAGGCACTTTAAAAATAGATACTTAGCTGCAGAGTAGACTTTGGTCACTTTCTGTGTTCTCTGCTAAATTATCAGAACCACAGTTTTGACCTCAAATGAGTATTTTGAGGCTCTAAGCCCGCAGGAGGTTGCTCGGTCCATGGTGCTGGCCGCCTTGTCCTCTGTTAACTTGAGTAACAACTGTTTGTGGGGGGATAGGGAGTGAGCCCTCTTTTCCCCTCTTGGTGGACTTGTAAACTGGTGTGCTCTTTTTAGAGGGCAGATGGGCATTCTCTAACCACATTTCAAGTGCACAGAAGGACGTATAAGGATTGTTCGTGGTGGTGAAGAGTTGGCAGCAGTTCACCTTGGGAGGGCCACACTTGGAACGTCTTGGAAAGTAGCTGCTTGAAGGAGGCAGGCGTATCTTACTGATGCGGAAAGCTCGCTAGGAGTTACTAAGGGAAGCGTGCGGGAAGCACACATTATATACGGCATGATGCAGTTTACATATATTTTAAAAATCCTTTTTCTGTTGGTATGCACATCTACACACATACAGAGGCGTGGGAAAAGGTCTGTAGAGAGAGAAACACAGAACTGTTAACAGCGGTTTCTTCTGAGTGCAGTATTAGGATTTGAGGGAGAGGAGTTAAAAGTATCCTTTTACTTTTTATTCTATGTTCTGTATATTTGTATTCTTTGATACCATTTACAGTGTTTAAGAACGTTAATGTATAGCTGCATGACTGTCTTAACTGAAAGAAGGAAAGAAGAGCTCTTAAATGAAACTAATCTGGTACCATTCCAGGAATATGGCGACAGATTTATTGCTGTTTAATCATCGTAAATTCAGAAAGAAATTCTCTTCATAAACTAGTTGCTGGGGAAATTATTTCTTACTATGCTGACATCTAGTGGCCAAACACAGTACAGTTATGTTATTAGGACAGTTATCTTCCCAAGGTGCTTAAAATAAATTTTTTCCAGCTTTATTGAGATACAATTGACATATAACATCGTATAAGTTTAAGGTGTACAGCGTGTTGATTTGATTCACTTACATACGGCAGAATGTTTATCCCCATAGCATCAGTCAGCACCCTCATCATGTCACATAATTACCATTTTTGTTGTGAACATTTAAGATCTCCCCTTTCAGCAATTTTCATGTATATAATGCAGTTATCATTAACTACAGTTATTTGATCCCCAGAACGTATTCATTTTATAATTGGGAGTTTGCACCCTTGACCAGTGTTCCCGCATTTCCCCTACCCCGGTCCCTGGGAACCACCACTCTGTTCTCTGTTTCTGCGGGTCTGGCTTTTTCAGATTCCACGTACAAGTGATGCCATACAGTGTCTGTGTTTCTCCGTCCGACTTATTTCACTTCACACGGTGCCCTCAAGATCCGTCTGTGTCGTTGCAAATGGCAGACTTCCCTTGTTTCTCGTGGCTGCACATACACCACATCTTCATTCATCTGCTGGTGGACACTCGGGTCGTTTCCATGTCTTGGCTGCAGTGAACATGGAAGTGCAGATATCTCTTCAAGAGATCTGTTTTCATTTTCTTTGCTTATGTACCCAGATAGGATTGCGGGATCATATGGTGGTTCTATTTTTAATCTTTTGAGGAATCTGCATACCGCTTTCCATAGTGGCTGCACCATTTTACATCCCCACCAACAATGCACAAGGGTTCCCTTTTCTCCACACCCTCATCAGCGCTTGTTATCGCTTATCTTTTTGACGATGGCCATTCTGACAGGTGTGAGGTGTGAGGTGGTACTCCTTGTGGTTTTGATTTGCGTTTCCCTGATGATTAGTGATGCTGAGCTCCAGGGTCCTTAAGATGGTAATTAATTTCCTATCAACAGACAATTATGGGGTACTTAAACAGTGTTTTTCCAAAAGATATACATAGCTTTCAGTGAACTGTACTAGTAGAGCTGGAACCTAGCACCAGTGCTTTAAATATAATTTTATACTTTGGTTTTAGAAAGTATACTATGAGATAAGTATAGAGAAAAACTATAAATCACAATCATCTTACTACCCAGAGATATTCCGTATCAACATTTCGACGCTTTGCCAGTGACTGGCCTTTCTTCTAATGTGTTTATTCATTCATTTATATGTTCATTCAATAAATATTTATTGGACATCTGTTATGTAGCAGGCACTGTCTTAAACACTGAAGATGTAGTGGTGAGCACAGCTTTGTCCTTTTGACCATATACTCTGATGGGTAAGATGAGGAACCCTGGAGAATATGGTATTAGATGAAGCTGGAGAAACTGAAAAGGGACCCAGTCAGGTACCCGCTTGTAAACTGTAGTCAGTCTCCCAAGGGCAAGGGCAAGCGGGGGAAGGGGTGTTGCATTTTGAAAAGTTTGGCTTCATAAGCCGAAGAAGAAATGACTGTGTGCTAACCAAGAGGCGGAAACAGTTGGAGTGAGGGTAGTTACGATGCAGGTGGAGAGAAGTGGGTGGATTCCAGGGCTGTTGAGGCGCAGAACCTGCAGGCCTCGGCGGTGAATCGGGTACGAGGGGAGAAAGAGGCCGGTGTCGCGGTGACTCCCAGGTTTGCTTTGTGCACTGGGAAGGTGGCTGCCATTCGGGGAAATAAGGATGGGACCTGATCAGACTTGTGGGGAAGACGACCGGCACGGTGAGAGAAATACAGAGTGCACGTGCAAGTGCAGTCGTGCCTTTGGGGGCCGTTCGATAGCTGGTGGGTGTGGGCGGCGGTTTTCAGACATCAGGGGTATCGAATGCTGCTGAGGGCTTGGGGGCAATGAAGACGAAAAAAATCTTTTTCATTTAGTGACACAGACATTGGTGACCTGAGCAAATGCTGGCTTAGAGCGAGGGCGCCTGAGTGCCAGACTGGAGTGGATTAGGGAGAGGAGGGCTGAGAGCAGGTTGTTGGGAGAGGCCGGTGGTACAGAAGTCCGAAGCGATGAGCAGGCCGGGTGGACACAAGCCGGAGAGGGTGAAGGGTCGCGTGCCGGTTTCGGCCGCGTTCGGTGGCAGGGGTTTGAGCACGTGTAAAAGCCAAGCGGGAAGGACTTAGCTGAGGAGAATAATAAACGTATAGGAGAAAGAAAATATAACTGAGAATGGAAAGCTTCTGAGAAGGTAGCCCACAGCACAGCCTTAGGGATTATAAGCTTTAGCATTTCTTTAAAAAAAAAAAAAAAAATCACAGGTTTTGATGGGTGAATGCTGTTTCGAGCTGTGTTTTAATAGGTAACTCTCTGTCATTGCTTTCTGGTCGGGCGTTACGTGCTTTCTCTCCTAACAACTTCTTGCCTCTCGCACAGAGTAACTACCTGGTGTTCATGGCGGAGCTCTTCTGGTGGTTTGAGGTCGTGAAGCCCTCCTTCGTCCAGCCCCGCGATGCTCGTCCGCAAGGAGGTGATCAGTGTTCCCGTAAACAAGCAGCATGGAGCGTTCAGATAGCCTCACCTGGTTCTTCTTTTACAGGGAAGCCTGTTGCTGTTTCCTAGTCTAGCCTTGATAAATTCTCTCTCAACGTTTAAAGCCACTGAATTCTCCGTGACAGACACGGTGTAGGGGAGGAAAAGGGGGTGGCGAGAATAGCCCTGCGTCCCACGGCTTATGCCGTGGGACTTTTAGCTGTAACTGTTTCCCCACTTTCCTCTCTTTGCACCTCTTACCCCCATCCCTAGCTTTCTGTTCCCTGTTAGAGTCTGAGTTTTTAACACTGTTGCCCAGAAGCCACTCAAATTATGGCTTGGCTTTAATCTGTAATTTGAACTTGCCCTTAAACCATAAAGGGGCTTGTTATATTTATTTTTAACCCTAGTAGGTTTTGTGATTGTTAACAGTACCACGATCTGTTGATTGCTCATAATAAGGACACTGGTCAGAAATAAAGGGGTAAGTTACCGTGAAGATCTCTGGAAATGAAGAACAAAAACAATCTTGCTGTATTTCCTCTAAAGCAGAACAAATTTTCCATCGGCTCCCATTGTAAGACCAGAGTTTCATGTCTGTAGGGGAAAATCAGTTCCACGCGCTAAAAGTGTGGGCCCACTAGAGAACTTGCCCCCGGAGTAACTCTGGGTTCTTCCTGCTGCCAGTGGCCTGCCCAGCACCGAGTGGGATTACCGTGCCTCCCAGCTAGCGAGCTGCTTTCCTTGGTGCCACATTTTTGCATTTTCCTTTATTTCTCCCCATCCCCACCCCTTCCCTCAAAAAATACCAAAGAAGAGAAGGAGATCCAGAAGGAGGGAAAACTGTGTACTCAGGCGGCAGTGGGTGAGGGACGTGGGAGGGCGATACCGCTCTGGTGAGTAGCATGAGCTGCCTTCAGTCAGCTGGCCCGCTGCGTCCCAGGCCAAACTCTGTAAAACATGCAGGAAACGAGTGTTGCTTGTGCCTCCGAGCTGCTTGGGGCAGAGCTGTCATGTAACGAGGCAGACCCAGAGAGCGGCTGAGGCCCTTCCTGAAGGCCACTGCGTAAAGCCAGGTGTCTTCAGTAGTTACCACAAACGATACTGTACAGCTTCTCACCGTTAACATGGCATTTTCATGTACGTTGCTTCGTGTGATCTCATCTGTGAAGCCCACTATTCAAAATATTCAACAGCTGTTATATTAGGTCTCCAAAGCAAAAAATAAATGAGCGTTATTTACAAAAATGTCAACTATACCAGTGGTTTTAATTGCTAACCAATGAAATTCTGTCTCTAATTGATTACCAAAACACCAACTATTTCATAGACGTAAAAGTGACCACGTGTAACTGAAGTTCTGTGAAAGCTTTTAGCAAAATTAGACACTCGTTTATTTTTGTTTTAAATATGTGTATTTATCTTATATTAAGCCTTTTTTTCCTCCCAATTAGCCTTAATCAAGTGGATTTCTTTTAAATTCATTTACTTATTTTTAGCTGCGTTGGGTCTTTGTTGCTGCGCGCGGGCTTTCTCTAGTTGTGGCGAGCGGGGGCTACTCTTTGTTGCGGTGCGTGGGCTTCTCATTGCGGTGGCTTCTCTTGCTTCAGAGCACAGGCTCTAGGGCGCGTGGGCTTCAGTAGTTGTGGCACGTGGGCTCAGTAGTTGTGGTGCACGGGCTTAGTTGCTCCTTGGTGTGTGGGATCTTCCCAGACCAGGGCTGAAACCTGTGCCCCCTGCATTGGCAGGCGGATTCTTAACCGTTGTGCCACCAGGGAAGCCCCAATCAAGTGGATTTTTTTAAGCCAGAACACTTCCAAGAACAGTTTAAAGAAAATTTGTCCTTTTGAAAATTATTTAAGGAGAAAATGGAATATGCTAAGATTTCTCTATAAGTAACAAGGAAAATTGCGGTTAAACTTAAACATTTATTTGTGGCTCATAATTCTTGAAGCAGTGTTGGAAACATGCTAACTATGTAATTCTGAGGGTTTTTTTCCTTTCCCGTAGCTGAACCTGTGGACGATCTGCCCTCAGTTCCTGTCTTAACTGCTGCCCAGAGAAACGCCTTGGACAGCTCTGACTTCACCCCAAGGTAGAGTCCAGAACATCGATTCCATTCACTCAGGAAATCAAAATTTTATTACGTTAGAGGTTTTAAAGTTTCAGTTGGACTTTGAACTAAGTAAGTTTCAATTAACTTACCCTATTAAAGCCTGTTTTAACATCGCCGTAATTGAAATTTACACTGAAGTGAATGTTTCATAAATAGGCTTTTATGAATCACACTGAAAGGTGGGGGAATATTATCCGAAGGTCCAAATAATCAGCCTAAAACTAAACTTTTGCTGCATAACTTGTTTATAATTGAGATTATATGATGCTTAAATGATAGGTAACTCTTAGGCCAGGGGGAAATTTTTTAATTTTCCATTTTTTAATAATTTTTTAATCTTTGAGGCAGTTTTCCCTACTGTGTTGTTTGCTGGTTACTGTAGCTATTCATAGAGCACAGTGGAATATTTATTGTACTGTTGAATCTTTATCTAATGCTTCAGTTCTTAGTATCAGGAACTGAATTGGAAGCAAAGTAAACATTTAATAGCAGGATAATCCTGACTTCTGACCCAAGTCTGTGATAGAGACATTAATTTGTTTAAAAATGTCTTTCAGCAGATCCTATAAGCACTTTTAATGCGTATTTACTAGAACCTAAAATGTGTATTGACTTTGGGCTCCCTAACTTACCTGATTTTTATTTTAAGTTTAAAACGGATGTATTTTGGGATTTTTATTTATTTATTTATTTTTTAGAAATTCAAGCAGATCTGTTAAAAATACATTTTAAAAATTATGAGTAAGAAATTGAATTGAATCTTTCTGCATGAAATATGAACTTGTACTGAAGTTGTCACTCCCTCCTCACGTCTAAGAAGTTTCTCTCTCCACTGTGTGCTAATGAGCATGGACAGAACCCCTACAGTACTGTTAGTGCCTTTGTAGGGCTCCTTAGCGCTGTGAACTTCTCATCTCCCTAAGTATTTCCTTCAGATCAAGAAGGCATTTTCCTTCCCTTACCCTCTGATTTACTCCTATAAATTTTCTTACTTCCACGAAGTTTTCTATTTTGTAACCACCCCTGAGATTTGCCACAAAGAGATTAGGTTAGAATGTGGCTGATCTAGGAGCGTCTCTGTTTTATCCCGTCGGAAACTTCTTTGTACACGCCACTTACTCAGTGCTTTCCTGGGTTGGTTAGACAGTGGCATTTCCTTCCCTGAAAATTTAGAAAACACTCAGTATTTTGGGTCGTAACTCTTGTACTGTTAAATCTTTAAAACCTCTGAAACTTTCCAGTTAAAGACTAGGTTATTCCATGATTATTATTTCTAGGAACTTGAGTGGACGATCTTCCACCTTTCTGACACTGGGAAATGTCTTAAGATCCTCTGGAAGACTCACCTCTTCTCTGTCTCTCAGATATCTGAGTGGCTCCCCTTTTCCTTTCTCCCAGCAGAAGAACTTCCTATAACCAGATGGATGTCTGAATCCTTTTCCTTGAAGAGTCACTGTGTAATCCTTTCATTTCTATGAGTTTCCATATGGTCCCTTTGTAGTTCTCCCATTGTAGAACTTTTGGGGAAGGATTCAAGGATTTCTGCTCTTCCTGAGAATAATGCAGCCACATCTACAAATGTTATCGCACCTGAATGGTGACCTTATGAGGAAAAAAAGCCAAAGGAAAAAGACAGCAAAGCAAGACATTTGTAGCAGCTACTGCACACGCTTGGCTACTAACCTGTACGGGAATCACCCCACATCAGAATCCTCTGTGCAGGCATGAAGTAAGGCAACTGTAGGAAGGTACAACAGTTTAGCCATTACCTGGGGAGGAAGAAAAGAGTGAACCTGTTTTAATAACTGAACTTGCATCTCTTCAGGATTGCACTCCTGTTGTAGATGTAGGAAGGGTAGAGGTTGTGGAAAGGCTACTGGAGCGGGGATGAGAGAGACGGACGAGACAGGGAGCAGCGTGGGGTCCTCTCCCCGGGTTTCCCAGGAAACGACCGGGGACGTGAGTGAGAGGAAACTGATGTGCAGGGCAGGGGCGGGGGCTGTGGGAGCTAAGCGACAGCGAAGGTACACCCGTGCTCCGGGCGTTGTTGCTTCTGGAAAGCTCGTGAATTAAGCTTTCATTAAATGATAAGAATGCAGCATCGTGGTTTACCTTTGTATCCTTTAGCTGCTTGTTCATCTTCGCGGTTTGCATTAGCCGAGAGGTAGCGTGGTCGCAGAGAGCTGCAGAGGTCACTGCGTCCTGCTCCCAGCTTAGTCTCAGCCCACTGGGGTCGGGATGCTTAGTTTCGCCTGCTACAAGGTAGGCCGTGGTGGACTGAAAACGTAGAAAAAGAAAAACTAAATTGTGGCCAAATGTCATCAGAAACTGAGAAGTAGACTGTGTGATCCGCTGCATTAACTGGAACAGGGTGGAGTTAAATCAGAAAAAAATGTTAAGTGTTAAAGACGTGCAGACTGCCCGCGAGCAGGAGGTGCCAGGCTCTTTCACAAGGATTCATCGTTCCTGTACTTTTAGAGATTGAGATTCGACCAGCATACTGCAAGTTGACGACTTTACTTTCTTTAATTCTCAGTCTTTCTGTTTGTAAAATGAAAATAATGTGCCGTATCTTATCTCACAAGGACGTTGAGCTGTACATGAAAGTAGTGTTTCAAGCTCTTGGGCTAAAAGACATAAAATACATAGAGATACATATAATCACCGCCATTCTTTGGTTTAAACACTATATTATGTTTCCTTATATTTTTTTTTTTTCACTTAGGTTGGAGAGTCGGAAGTGACAGTGTTGTTTCCGACTTCAGCTGTTGTATCTAAAATTTATATGCAAGAGTTAGACACTTTATGACATTTGATTGACGTGTATTTTACGTTGCAGTGGGGAAGGAGCTGCGCTTACACACTCGCGTCCTCATTTGCCTTCTAGACACTCACGTCCCCAAGCTCATCCTTCAGCCTCAGGTAATGTATTTGAAAAAGCCTAGGAAAATGCCATTTAAGCGGTTAACTAGAAAATGATTGAGAATACATGTAAATAAAAGTATCCAGTTCTTTTTTCTAAAAAGTGTTACATATGACACACTAAAAGGGCTCTGTTTCTCTATGCTTGCTTTTAACAAAATGATCTTTATTTCTCCACTTACCTTATGTGAAATCTGTTAAATTGTTGTAAGTTAAATTTTTTTTACGTGACTTCAATGACTTTTACTTTTATGCATTTGAAGGAGGAATAAGAAGGTCTTCATCTATGTCCTATGTTGACGGCTTCATAGGGACATGGCCCAAGGAGAAAAGGTACACAGAGACTTATTTTTAGTGTACTCAACGTTCTCAAGAACTGCTCATCCCCCGCCCCCACCCCCTTGTTAGCCAGATTGCAATTTAATTAGTACCTGCATTTGAAAAGGGCAACGTGGGCCGATGATAGAGTGACCAAAGGGGCCAAGTGTGACGGGTGGCCCGACAGCCTTACCCTCGCCTTGAGGACAACGTGATTATGAGAAATGGGAAAGAAAGGGGGCATAATTTCAAATAACTGTTGTTGTTCAGTGATATCAGATTGTTTCCTTTCTGGGATTATTTAAAGATTTTCTCTTTAATTTTTTTTTTCTTAGATCATCAGTGCATGGCGTTTCATTTGATATTTCCTTTGATAAAGAAAGTAGTATACAGAGATCCACTCCAAGCCAAGGAATCACTCGTTCTATTAGTAATGAAGGACTTACTCTGAACAACAGTCGTGTATCCAAGAACATGAGGAAAAATCTGTCCTTCAAGCCAGTAAATGGGGAGGAGGGAGCCAGAAGCATTGAACAAGGACTTCACGTGGGCTCTCACGGCCGCCTGACGGCCTACGTGCCCCTGGACACAAACGAAGTAGGTTCTAAGCAGAGCATGGCTCACAGGCTTCCGAACGGAGCTCTGCAGAGCAGAGTGCTGCTCGATGAGTTCGGCAGTCAGGTCGGGACCCCCAGCATCGAAGAAGCATTACAGATAATCCACGACACCGAGAAGCCCGCCCACACCCCTCGGCCGGACCAGCTTGCGAACGGCTTCTTTCTCCACAGCCAGGAGATGGGCGTCCTGAACTCCAGCGTCCCGCGCAGCCAGTCCAGTCCCGAGAGCATCGCGGACACGAAAGGCGCCTCGAGCCCCGTCACTGACAACACGGAGGTGGACACGGGGATCCACGTCCCTTCAGACGACATTCCGGAAACTATGGATGAAGACTCTTCCCTGAGAGACTACACCGTGAGTCTGGACTCCGACGTGGACGACACGTCCAAATTCCTCCAGGACTACAACCCCAGAGAGGCCTTGAGTCCCTGTCCCAGCACCGTCAGCACCAAGTCCCAGCCCGGGAGCAGCGCCTCCTCCAGTTCCGGCGTGAGGATGACCAGCTTTGCCGAACAGAAATTCAGGAAGCTGAATCCCACCGACGGAAAAAGCAGCGGCAGCAGTTCTCAGAAGACCACGCCGGAGGGCTCGGAGCTCAACATCCCTCACGTGGTGGCCTGGGCGCAGACCCCAGAGGACACGGGCCTTCCGCACGGCCGGGACACCACGCAGCTGCTGGCCTCCGAGGTGGTGCATCTCAGGATGAAGCTGGAGGAGAAACGGCGGGCCATCGAGGCCCAAAAGAAGAGGATGGAGGCCGCGTTCACCAGGCAGAGGCAGAAGGTGGGGCGGACGGCCTTTCTCACCGTGGTGAAAAGGAAAGGGGACGGCCCCTCCCCGCCCCGGGAGGAGGCGGCTGGCGCGGAAGACGGGAAAGCGTACGCGGAGCGGCTGCCTGAGAAGGAGCCGCAGACGGCGAACGGGCCGAGGAGCGGGTCCCCGGCGGACCCCAAGGAGGGCGCGGAGAGCCCCGTGGGCAGGTGGCCGCCGTCCCCGAGCGCGCCCAGCGACCCCGAGGGGCCGTGGAGCCCGGCCGGCCCCGCGGAGGAGCCGCCGCAGGACGGCGAGCTGCTGGAGCACACGCGCTCCATCGAGAGGCTCAACGCCTCCCTGCTCGTCCTGCAGCGGGAGATGCAGCGCCTGGCGCTGCAGCAGGAGCTGCTGATGCACATGCGCGAGCAGCAGGCCTGGGTCATCTCCCCGCCCCCGCCCTCTCCGCACCGGCCGGCCCGCGCAGGGAAGCCCCACCGGCCGCCGGCCGAAGCCCCCCGCCCTGCCCACGCGTCTCCGCAGCCCGCTGCCAGGAAGAGCGCCTCCTTCTCCGTCAAAACTCAGAGAACTCCCAGGCCAAACGAATTGAAACTCACGCCCTTGCACCGAACGCTGACGCCTCCTCGCTCTGTGGACAGCCTCCCTCGGCTCAGGAGGTTCTCTCCGAGTCAGGTCCCCATTCAGACCAGGTCCTTCGTGTGCTTGGGGGGCGGCGGAGAGCCGGAAGCGAAGGAGTCCGGACGCGAGGAGGGGGAGGAGGAGGGGGAGGGGCCCACGGGCCCTCGGGAGCAGCACGGGCGCATCCTGGAGGGCGAGGAGGCGCGGGCCCCGCCCCCTGCGGCTCCCGAGGGCCTGGCGCGGCCCGCCACAGAGGCCGCGAGGCCCACCCGGGGCGAGGACTGCGTGAGTCAGCCTGCAGAGCCTCCTTGCAGACCTGCCTTCCCACCTGCTGCTCCTAAAAGTGCTAATCTGATCGAAGTCTCCCTCTCAGATTTGAAAGCCCCTGAAAAGGCTGATGTATCTGTTGAAAAATATGACGGAGAAAGTGATAAAGAGCAAGTTGATGATGAGCAGAAAGTATGCTGTGGATTCTTCTTTAAGGTAAAGCCAGCCCGCGTGGCCCTAGGCCTCTTCGCTGGTGGGTGTTTTCAGTTGGCGCGCTTGCTTCTTTAGCAGCCGCCCTTCTCGTTACAGGTCTGCCATTAATCCTAAAATGTATTCTGGCCCGCCCCTTGTGGACTGCAGTTCTGTTCGGGCACATTGGTTTCTAGAACAGTCCTCCTTTCATCACATCGTGGTGCATGTTTAGACGTGCTGTTTTTGTCCCTCTGACTCCCTCTCACTTTTCACCAAAGCCTTTTGAAAACCAGGTGATTCACACTCTTCCAAAAGATGGTCAGTGGCCACTCTGTAAAAAGCTCATAACTTGGCATTGCATGTAAGTCTGTTTTAGTTTATTTTCTTAATACTGACCGTCTTCCCTTGTATGTATTGTTTTTTAAAAAATCTTTTGAAAACTGACCAGACAGAGTCTTACAAGGTGAAACATTTAAAAGTATATAATTGGAGCAGTTGTCATTGAAATAGCTTCTCTAGAAGCATTGGCGAAGGTGTAGCATATGACCCCTAATCTCAGGATTGGTGTTGGGTATGACATGTGTTTAAACAATACTACAGCCAACTAACACAAATACTGAACAGTATCACCTCGTGATGGTAAGATCTTGGAATTTATCATAGGTATTAGAACCAGAAAAGCCCTAATGTTATTTTAAAATGTTTCTCCTGTCATCCCTTTTTTCATCTTTATGTTTTTCCAAATTCCCTATAGGGAATAATATACATATATATATATATATATATATTTTTTTTTTTTTTTTTTTCGGTTGCGGGCCTCTCACTGTTGTGGCCTCTCCCGTTGCGGAGCACAGGCTCCGGACGCGCAGGCTCAGCGGCCATGGCTCACGGGCCCAGCCGCTCCGCGGCATGTGGGATCTTCCCGGACCGGGCCACGAACCCGTGTCCCCTGCATCGGCAGGTGGACTCTCAACCACTGTGCCACCAGGGAAGCTCTATATGGTTTTTTATAATCAGAAACATGTATATATGTGCTACTCGTGTTTCTTTTTTTAGTTAAGGGGCTAAAGTAAATAGTTTGTGATCCTGAATAGCTCCACAATTGGGAATATAGATAGAAAGACAGCACTCAGTGGCAACAGTTTATAGTTTCGGGCTTTAAATGAAGCGTACAGCAGTCCTATTGGGGTCAAAACCCGCGAGTACTGTGAAGTGGTTACAATCGTTAGTTTTACTTAGGATCATTAAATTTTGGAACCTGGTAGCTTACTTTTAAGTTGGTCATTGAGAGATGGCCCTCTCGGCCCTTTTTAATGTTTAGAAATTTGAATGGGGGTTGTGTTTTGTCTCTTAACCGTGTAGAACTTTTTTTTTTTTTTTAAATAGGCTGCTACTGTAGACAGTAATAGTTGTGTTTAATTTTAGAGACCTTGCCACCTCTGCACCTCTGCAGAGAAAGGAGAACAGAGGGGCATCCTTGGGTGTAAAACGTACAGTCCCTCGCTACACTCGTTTCCTCACTTCAGTTTTCGCTGCCCAGTACTCCCCCCTTGGGCCGTGGTCATAGCTCATTCACGGGGCTCCCTGCCTCTGTCATGGTCCCATTCGTCACACTGCCACTTGGCAGCATAAATCGACGGAGTCTCTTAGAGTTGCCTGTTGGATAAACTTAAACCCCTCAGCATGTATTCAGGGGCCTTTCACAGACTGATCCAAGCCTGTTGGTCCACCCTCTCCCCCCATAACTCTGTTTGGGATGTTTTGTAAGACTAACTTCAGGCCTCATCTGTTTGCTGCAGCCTTTCATGATTCCTTGGGTAGATGTGAATATGTTCTCCTCTGTGTCTCTTGTATCCTAAACATCCTCATAGTAATGCTGCTGACCCAGAATTTCCAACTACCTTGTGATTTGCTTCTGTTACGATTTCTCTTAGACTGTGAACTCCTAGAGACACTGCATCTCCTTATCCCCAGAGCATAGTAAAGTGCCTGGCAAATTGCAGTGTGTGTAGTGTGTTTGACACAGACGTGTGAATGTTTGGACTGACTGTTTGAATGGTATCTTCTGACTTTCTGCATTCAGAGTTCATCTCTCTCTGGGTTTCTGTGCAAAGCACCTTGTTTGTACCTCTTCCCCGTGGGATCTAGAAGCTCCTTAACCTGAGGTGCCCTATCTTTTTCATATTTTAGTACCTGTAACGTCTGACACTATGTTGTGAATGTATTAGACACGCATGCCTAATTGTTGAATTAATAAGCAAGGCATCGTTACGGCAGGGAACCACTTCTGTAGCTGGTTACTTTCCTGACTTCTGAGCTCCCTGAGCGTTCAGGTAGAAGCTGGGGCAGGCTCAGGACACCTACAGGTCATGGACTAGCTCTGGGGTTAGGAGTATAAGTATGCTCGTCTTCTCTTCAAAGGAAAAACCTGTGGTATAGTTCAGAACCCAGCAAGCAAACTGTCAGGACCTCAACTTTTTAAAAAAAAATCATGCAGCAATAGCTTCATTTATGTGATACAGCTTTGGGTAGCTAATTTTTTTGACGCTTTTACTTGAGTTTTCTATATTAAGCATGTATTTAAATACAATTTAAATGCAGTTTTAAAAATCCTCGGGAAACTCTCCACTCTATCAGTTATTTATCAGGGCCCAAAAAAACTTTGTCTTTTTTTTTTCCCCCTTTTTAATGTTGTTCTTTGCTAACTTCCTAAGTTTTGAAAACATGTAATCAAAGAAGTTTGTGTCCTTTGTTACTTGGTAAAAGTATTACCACTTTAATTCATTTCTTCCCTCATAATTTTGGAACGTGTCCATCTATGGTGCGGTTGGAGTGAGCTTCACTAGACAGTTTGGATTTTCAGTTATTAAGAGTGACCCCTCCATGTGGCCACAAGCATTGAACATGAGGATATTGGTGCCTCAGATGTTTCCTCTTTCTCAATGACATTCACTCTTAGGATGATCAAAAAGCAGAAAATGATATGGCGATGAAACGGGCAGCTTTGTTGGAGAAACGATTAAGAAGGGAGAAAGAGACCCAGCTGCGGAAGCAACAGCTGGAAGCTGAGATGGAGCACAAGAAAGAGGAGACCAGGTGGGGGCCGCTGCCTGGGGTCCGTGGGAGGTGGTGTCCCCCTCACTCTCGTTAACGGTGTTTAGGGACCTTTGCAGAATATAGAGACAACGCTGATTTGGGGTGCTTTTTAGAAGTTATTTTCCCAGAGTGTTACTTGATTGCATATTTTTATCCTGAGTTTGAGACATCTTAAAGTTCTCCAGAAACATTAATTGAAAGTAATTTCCCTGGGTTTTACACGCACGTGCACACACATACACACACACACACACACACACACACACATTTTTTAAGTAGTTACTTATTAATGGTATATTTAAGTGACCTAAATTATCTCAAGTACATTTTAAATGAACCAGTTTCCCAGGGGCTGAACCATTCTTCCTTCTCACGTAAGCGCATACCTGACAAGTGTTGTGCACAAAGAAGTGTACCCGCTTGTTTCCTAGGCGTAAAACCGAGGAAGAACGTCAGAAGAAGGAAGATGAGCGAGCCCGCCGGGAGTTCATCCGGCAGGAGTACCTGAGGCGCAAGCAGCTGAAGCTCATGGAAGACATGGACACGGTCATCAAGCCTCGGCCTCAGGGAGCAAAGCAGAAAAAGCAGCGGCCGAAGTCTATCCACAGAGACCACATTGAATCCCCCAAAACACCCATAAAAGGTCCTCCAGGTAACACGTGCGTTGTGAGAAGTCTGTTCATAGCCACAGCAGCCCGGGCAGTCACGCTGGCTGGGGGTGCTCGGGGCTGAACTGCACACTCCCTGTGTGCAGAACCAGAACGAGCAGAGGATGCTTCCGGTGACTTGAGTGTATTATGTGCGCATGCATGTGGCCAACAGAGCAAACGCAGGGGCTGACCATCCAGCTTAAACACTAACCTGGCAGGGAGCTCGCCCTCAGACGTCAGCTCCCTGGATCATTAACTGCCCTTTCTGTACTGGTAAATTTAAGGATAAGCGTTGTGTGCCTGGAATGTGTACAGAACATGTCAGTATAACCAGGAATATAAGATCAGGAGTTCATGAGTCCCTCCTTTAAGATACAAATGGTCAAAAATCCAAATTTATAATTTCTGGAGTTGAGATAATTTTTTTTTTCTAAATTCAACATGCATACTCTTATTTTTTTTACTGTTCACTTTATTAAAACTAAATGCCATGGAAAATTTTAGAGAATTCCTAGAGTAATTCTAAAACTGAAGGAAAATAACATAAAACATTGACTGTTTAAAGAGACCTCTAATGCTCACAGACATAGAAAACAAACTTATGGTTACCAAAGGGGAAAAGGGGCGGGGTGGGTGAGATAAATTAGGAGTTTGGGATTAACAGGTACACACTACTATATATAAAATAGAGAACCAACAAGGACCTACTGTACAGCACAGGGAACTATATTCAGTATCTTGTAATAGACTTATAATGGAAAAGAATCTGAAAAAGAATGTGTATATATATATATATATATATATATATATATATATATATATATATGTATATATATATATTATATATATATACAGTATCTTGTAATAGACTTATAATGGAAAAGAATCTGAAAAAGAATGTGTATATATATATATATATATATATATATATATATATATGTATATATGTATATATATATATTATATATAACTGAATCACTTTGCTATACACCAGAAACTAACACAACATTGTAAAGTAACTATACTTCAATTCAAAGAATAAAGAGAACTCTACCTTTTCTAGTCAGTGAAAATTTTTGATACCCAGTATTGGCTGAAATTAATAAATTAATTTTCTACCTGGTAATTAGATACTCCTAAATATATTCTATTCTTCTTGTTAATTTCTTTGTTAACTTTTCTTAGTGTTCACTTTTTTCTTATAAACACTGTATTATATCTCATATTACCACGTTGTTTCTGGAATAAATCCTAACAGCAATTCATTTTGTCATTATTTCTTTTTTTTTTTCTTCCAGCTTTATTGAGATATAGTTAGCATACAGCACTGTATAAGTTTAAGATGTACAGTATAATGATCTGACTTACATACATCATGAAATGATGACCACAGTAAATTTACTGAATATCCATCATCTCATCTCGTATAGATACAACATTAAAGGAAAAGAAAAACATACTTGTTCCTTGTGATGAGAACTCCTAGGATTTACTCTTAGCAGTTTTCGTGTCATATATCACACAGCAGTGTTAGATAAATTATAAACTGTAATCGTCTTGCTGTACATCACATCCCCAGCACTGTTTGTCTTATAAGTGGAAGTGGTACCTTTCTGCCACCTTCTTCCAGTTCCCCCTCCCTCCCCCCACCTCTGGTAACCACAAATCTGATCTCTTTATCTATGAGTTGGTTTGTTTGTTGAAGTATAATTGACCTACAACACTGTGTTAGTTCCTGTTACACAACATAGTGATTCATTTGATGTTTCCATAACTAGGGTTAGTCTAGTTACCACCTGTTTCCATAACTAGGGTTAGTCTAGTTACCACCTGTCACTGTACGAAGATATTACACAGTTATTGACTATGCTCCCCACCCTGTACATTTCATCCCCGTGACTCACTTATCTTCCAGCTGGAAGTTTGCGCCTCTGAATTCCTCACTTATTTCATTATTTCTCAAAAGTAGTTCCTTGCTAATTTTGAATAAATTGTGCGTGCACGCATGCAAGCATATTATGCATCTAAAAAGGAAAAGAAACTAATTTCCAGCTGTTCCTTTTGAATTTCTAATCTTGTTTTTTATTCAGGATCACAAATTTATCGTGTCTTTTCAGTCTCTAGCCTTTCTTTGGCGTCACTGAACACAGGCGACAGCGAGAGTGTGCATTCAGGCAGGAGGACCCCGAGGTAAGTTGCAGCATAAGCGTTTTCATAGAAAACGTTACTTTATATTTCCCAGTGAACGAACCGTAGTCACAAATGTTTATAAGTGTTGCTCACTAGGACAGTTCGGGTTTCTGTTAAATTTATATGTAAAGAGGTCTGTTCATCTTTCAGTTTTTTATCTTTCAGAATTGTAGAATTATGACACCAATAAGACATTAACCGTAATTGTACATCAGTCGTTGCCACTACGATTGTGATATAATCATGGTAAAAACAGAAAGTACCTCATCTGTATAGTGCCGGCCTCTAGTTTTCTTCCCCTTTAGAATAATTCCAAAGTAAGGAATTATTGCTCGTGACTTAGGAAAGATCTCTTGTACGCTGTCTCTTTCTTTCTCTAGGATATATGTACCTTAGAAGCTAAAAGTCAGTATTTCATTATTGTGTACTATAATACCCATATACAGAAAAGAGCGTTTCTAGTGACAGTCATCAGCTCTGAGCTCTGATCTTTGTATTACCACCCTACTGCGTTAATTGCCGATTGTCATGTGGCCAAACCATTCATTCTGTCATTCAGCAGACACTTACGGAGTGCCTGCTGAGTTCTCAGGACTTGGATGTATAGCTGTGAATGGGACGAAGTTATCACCGTCCTCTTGTTTCAAAGCCTCTGGGTCGAGTTTGTTTTGGTGCTCACGTATACCCTTCTGAACCCCAAATGTTTTTCTCTCTCTGAGGCATTAAAGTGTTATTTATTATTTAGATCAGAGTCTGTTGAAGGCTTCTTGTCTCCGAGCCGCTGTGGCAGTAGAAATGGCGAAAAGGACTGGGAGAACGCTTCCACCACCTCTTCTGTGGCTTCTGGAACAGAGTACACAGGTCAGTGCCTGTGCATTTTTTAGGGAAACAGTTTAACGTGGGGCTGAGACTAGCTGCAGGCTGTGCTAAGAAAGGTTCACTGACTTGCCTCTCGGTCTAAACACGGAAGACTGATCCGGCACAGTGAATGCAGGTGGTCACTTTCAGCTTAAGTCGGTTTCAGTGATATGGTTTGTCCCAGAAGAATTAAGGTAAGTTTCTAAAAGGTAGTAGGTACCACTTAACACCTCATTCCTGTACATCTCCCTTAAAAATGCAGGCCGTTTCTGTGTTGTAGTTTGGGTTTGAAGAAATTTTAGAGAGGGTCCCTCGGCAGTGCATCGGTCCTGAGTACTGGGAAGAGCTAGAGTCCACCGAGCCCCTCCTCTGACGCTGGGATTTCAGTATCTGGAACAGTGCGTCTTGAAAAAGTGTTGAGAGGCTCTAAAAGACATGGGAATGCGTTGGGTCTAGGACGGCACCCAGCCTTGCACATCCAGCTCATAGGGGGGTGGCTATTCCTGAATTTATTGAGAGTTGGGTGGTAGGCCTAAAAGAGTGGGGTAGTATCCCTAGCAGATTTGTGGAAGCAATAAATAAAAGGAGTGAGGTGAGTATTAGGGATCAGGTTCGTCCTTTGGGGTTGTGTATATGTATTAGTTGTTTTGATGTTATTTTAGTCAATCATTGTTGGATGGCGATTATACGATTATTAGTTAGTCGGTTTGGTGATGGGAATAGTATGGCAGGGAATATAATGATTAAGGTGGTAATGGGAATGCCCAGTATTATTGGGATTGTGAAAGGGGTAAATAGGCCCTCCTCCAGCCTCTGTGTGCAGAGGTGTTATTGAAGGAAAAGCTCATAGGATGGAAAGTGGGTAAGAACGAAAGAAAAGAAGCAGGAGAGGAAATGCGAGCGCCCTGGAGACGTAGGCGGGGGGGGG